AAATAACTAAAGAATGTGCAGCTGCCGCAATTGCATCAATTGCTGCCAGTTCACAATCATCAGTCTTTTTAAGAAGGCTTTCTACGGCATTTACAAGACCATCCGCCTGCTTGCCACCAAAGAAACTGGAGTAAACAACAGGTTTGTAGCCGAATTCTGATTGTACCCAATCAAGTATAGGATCAACTTTCTCCACTTGCCGTTCTGCAAATTTAAAAATGTCAAAAGAATTAAGTATTAGATGGATAATCCACATTATGAAACCCAAAATAAAAAAATATATATGTGATCGTCTATAAATTATCAGGGAAACAATCATTGGCATGCCCTACATTTGCACAAATAACACGACCACTCCTTGACATTTCAATATTAGCACAAGAACCCCTACTTTTGAAAAGTTGTATAAATGAGGCCCCATCTGCTGCTGGAAAAGAAGACATTAGCAAACTCTATACTTGAGGACTCACTTTTACCCCTGTTCCTCATTGAAATAAAATTAAATCTTTTTTTCAAAATTATTCCTAACAGGAATTCAAATGAATTTTGTTAGAGCAAAAACTCTAGTATAAAGTTAAAAAAGATAACCCCACCCTCTTTCCTCATCTTCTTCTTCTCTCTCTCCCCCCCACACACACAATGTTCGTTTCTCTCTACTCTCTGTTACATCCCTTCCCTCTCCCCATGCAGCCTCCCTCCTCCTTCCCCCATTCTCTTGAACACAGGCCACAGCCTCCCTCACCACAGGTTCGAACCAGTAAACCAGTCACCAGCTCCACCCTCCCTGCCCCCATTGCCACCGACCATCACTGCACCACATATCCAATTTCAATTACAATTCTTCCCCTCCCTGCCACAGAGTAAATGGAATATATACAAGGATACACCTGCAATACATATACAAGGACTTCTGTCAGGGATGTCAGGGGGTCATCGCAAACAAGTCTTGGGGTGTTGGTCCCCGGCTGTTGCTCTTCTCTTTTTCATTTAATGGATTTTGCTGGTTTGATTTGGTTTCCACAGATGGATTGTGATAGTTTAGGTAGGGCTTTGTAGATGGATAATCTTGGTTATTTTTATTTTGACAATTCAAATAAGAGCTCCCTTGAGAAAGGGGAAGAAGGGAAGAAAGCATTCATTTATCTGTTTCATGTGAATGGCCCTAAGCTGCATAACTAATGACATCATTAGAAAACAAAATTAGCCACTTTTACATGAATTTGCACATTGATGAGATCTGTCTAGCGGTCCCTCTTGGAGATGGATTATGTGACGGATCCCTCCATTATTTATTCCTTACCCATTTTGTAAATAAATCAATTTATCACTTCAAATATCTGAGCCCCATGCGATATTTAAAATATTAGTAGGTGGCAGGAGAATAAGCTCATATGTAAGGGCAGCCATTGAAATTTAGCATTATTTTGCAACAAATTGATTCAACTTCAATGTTCAGCTTAATTAAGTACCAGTGAACAACTCCAGAAAATTAAAATTTTAGGCCATTTGGGGACACATATTCACAGGTAGAAATAGGAGTAAAATTGGAATATAAAATAGTAAAGGAGGGAGTAGTAATATCAGTATGGAGGGGTCAAAATAAAGAAGCATGCGATAGTGTCCGCTGCCACAGGAAATGATGGAAGCATATTGGGTATGCTGGTGGGCTTGGCATTGTTAGCTACTGTGGGACAACATCGTAGGTTCCAGATGTGAAAGTTGTTTTAATTCGATTGTGGCAACTGCCTAGTGGAAACGAAGACATAGAATTGGTGGAGCAGTGCAAAAGTGGTCGTGATGGAAGCAAAATTGGTGTGGTGGACATGGAGGCACTTACTGCAGGCATAGAGTTGGTGCTCCTTAAGTGTAACATCTCCCTCCCACAGAGCAACCACTTTGCATGAACACCAACCCCCCCCCCCCCCCCCCCGCCCGGCGGGGTCCTCAAAAAAAAAAAAAAACAAAACAAAAATTATAAAGAAATAAAAACTCAACTTCCCAAAGCTTAAGCTATAGCATTGCTTACATGTCCTTAAAAAGATAATGAGCCAATGTTAAGTGATGAGTAAAATCTAAAAGAAGTTCAAAATCATACAGCCAATATGTCTGCGGGAAGAAGAAATAAATCCTTTGACAAAATCATAAAAGTAGATCAACTCAGATTGTACTAAAAAATTAGTAATGGGAACCATAAAAACCAACCCTTGCGTTTATGTTATGCATCGTCAAATGGAAGTTTTATGATCATTCAAAGAATAGTCCCTTTAAAATTAGGCAAAGCAATCCCCTAAACTTCTCCAACCAAAACTACATCAAGTTACTGAATGTTGCAGTCCAACCATTTCACTATCTTACAAACAAAACTGGTATGCAGTCACTCACACAAGCATCATAAGAAAATAAAGACTACTCATCACTGAATCCAAGAAGGTATACTTATGGCAACGAGTAAGAAACTACATACTACACCACTTCATAATTCATATATCTCAGATTTCATAATTGTCATATTCGACAAAAGTTTGCCATAGAAAAGATTTGCAAAAAAAGAGGTATAATGAAACAGATACAAAATGATCTTGCATGATAAAACCAAATGAGATGATTATAAGGCACATACCAAGGACACCCCTTGTCCAGTCATTATCTCCTGGAGCACGGCAGAATACTAAATCTTGATGAAACTTCTTCATAAGATGCTCAATTATTTTTGGACGAGTGAGTGGAACTCTTTCCAAAGCAGTACAAGCAAGTTTCATCAGAGGCATTGTAAATGGTCTGATTCCATCTATTTGCTACAATCACAAAACATTCTGTCACGTAATTCCCAAGCACAGAAATGCATGATAATTTACAAAAGAACCCCACCAACTCACTACGAAACATGAAAACCATAGGAATTACTGCAATTCCAACACCATTAAGGATGTACAGAAATAAGTTAATGAAAAAAAAAAACAAGTTCGAATTTTTTTAATACAAAAATACAGTTGAATCACTTTAAATCCTTGATTTTTTAGCATAGAATTAACACCTAATCTGGAGACTGAAGTACATCACAAGTTGCAACTTCGGATCACCAATAACATTTCAGAAACGAAACCCATTTAACACAAACTAAAATCTTAAAGAAACCCGTTTTGCTGTAAAACTAAAATCATACCCATATTAATGAACATTTTCAATTCTGAAACAACGAATTGAAAGAATACATATCCAACACTTCCCATAGTGAAGTGTGTGTCACAGAGAGAGAGAGAGAGAGGACCTGGTACTCCCATTCAGCTGCAATAGCCTTAGCAAGAGCTAAAGTAGGACACTTGAGAGGCCTTTTCGAAGGGGTCTTTAAGGTTTTATAATCTAGCATGACAGACCAACCGTTACCATCGTCGGCCTCTCTAGTAGTCACTTGCTTGTAGAACCTTTTGCCTACGATCGATCCAGTCATGAACGCCATGGGCATGGTCACTGATGATGACGGCGTCTTTTCGTGGGCTTTAACGTAGATATTATCATTCTTTTTCTGACCATCTTGAAGTCCAACGTCGGATGAGAAGGAGAAGGAGGACGAAGACGGGCCGTCGGGTTCGGGTTCTCCGGCAGTGGCGAGGGAGCCGAGGAAGCAGTTTTGAGACGTTAGGATTCTGAGAAAAAATGGGTTTACTGATTTTAGGGTTTTTCTCATTACCGCAGTAGCCATAACTGATCACTCAGTCGAGAGATCGAGAGAGAGATGTTCGGTTTGGGGGAAGTGGGTGGAATTTGGAAAGGTTTTCGGCTAAAAATTGATTTACGGAATCGGGTCATTGCCAATTCAGGCAATTGAATTTTTTTGGCCCGACCCTTTTTCTATAGATAAAGCAATCTTCTTGGTTTTGTACAAATGACACTTCAACCCACTTGAAAATGGTCAAAATTGTATAATTTGCGCCCATACAGATTAAAAATCTTACATTGTACCACTAATATTTTAAATGATACCAATATGCCCCCAATTAGTCATTTTTTATTGATCTGACATAACTAATTTTTATGGGGCAAAGGGAAATTTGTAAACAATTTCAAGGAACAAAGTAATACCACCATAATTTTATGAATTGAAAATTAAACGTAATTTATTTTGTGGGGCATTTTGCTATTATATTGAAATATTTAGAATGCAATGTAAATCTTTTAATGTTTAAAGTAAAATTTTTGCAAACATAGAGTTGCAGTATTCATTTTTGTTTTTAATAATTCTATTTATACCTAATTTGTTAATTCAATTTAAACATCTAATGCATTGTGGGCTTTGAATTGATATAGTTAATTCCCTCATATCTCAACTTGAAGGCTTGACGAAAAAGGTTAATCTTGATTTAGGTTTAGCCTTTAAACACAAACTTAACTTATTTGATTATTTGTTATCAACTTTAATTCACCCCTTACTTTACACGTACTGAATATAGGATAATCTACTACACAAATGCAAAGCAAAGAGCTTACCAACAAAAAGATTCAATTTTGATTGTGTAGAGCTGGTGTTGTTGTTGCTTGCGTGTAGGGTCATCCCCCACTTTTGTCCCGAGACACTAAGGAGCTTTTGTTTTTGGAACAGATGGCATTGTTTTGATGATGCCTCGAATCAAGTTTTGTTGTGACATGTTATGTTTTCTCCCCTATTGCTTGTAGGTTGATGGGTCGCACGTCCGGCACACATGTTTTAGTGTTGTGGGTCCATAACTCAAAATAGGTGACCTAACGGCTAACATCCGACTAAACATACCAATAGTCACCAAATTCAACTATATTTAATACTAGCTAATTCAATGTTTGCAACTCATTATATTCTTGAATTAGGTACAAACAACATTGTTGTTTGGGTTTTAGTGGAAGCCTTCGGATCTTATTCATCTTCATTGAATGTGAGTGCCCCACTTCACTCAGTCCATTTCGTTGCATTGGGGGTTCATCTTTGCTGCAGCAGCAGCAGTGATTTGGTTCAAATTAAACTAGACAGAATATACATAAAAATATGAGCTATGATCTTCACTACCCATGTACAGTTTTTTCCTCCTTATGATTTGGAATACTCTGGACATGAAAGAGCTTCTCTTCTATCCTAAAAGGCTATGATGCTGAATGGATTATGTAAAGATATTTTAAAGTAAGTCATCTGTGCATCAACTTGTGTCCTTTGTTCTACAAACTCTCCATATATTTACTCTGAGGATGATGCAGACCAAGAAAATATTACATACAGATGCTGACAGGAAGCAAGCCTAAAAACAACTTTTGTTGATTTCTGGTGTTCGGCCTCCAGATCGATCATGACCAGTGGAGCGATCATAATGGATTTTGGCACGCACTATGAACTGAAGTGAAATACCCCCCCCCCCCCCCTCTGTTTGTGCTGATCAATGCTGAATATTTGAGGAGGATGTGTTCTTGGGGCATAATGATTTCTGGTGGGGCGGTGAGAGAGTCAAGGTTCGACTTTTCTTTTTAAAGACACTCGTGGAAGCAATTTTCTTGGACAAAAACGTTGGATGTGGTGAGATTGTGCCATACATTGTGCTGGCACTGGGCTTTCTTCCTAGTTTAGGTGACTGAGGTTGTGTCAACCGAGTCTGCAAGAAGAAATGGAAGGAAAAATAAAAAATCTATACATGTCCAAGCAGAAATTTGAAATATAATGAGTACAGACAGAATGACTCTCTAGCATGGAATCAAAAGCTGGTGATGGAGAAGAATCCTCCAAAAACAAGGAATAGCTGACAATTTTTGCCATGGAACCAAGAGCTGTGAATGATATATATATATATTTGTATGTATTGAAAAACAAAGATTTTTATAGAATGAATCAAAGAATTACAAGAAGCAAAAGGGATATAAATCCCTAAACAGACCACTCAATGAGTGGCTTTAATCCTTCAAAACATGACATAATGTCAAAAACTCTCCTTCAGGCACCCAAAAATAACCAGCACCCTATCACAGCAGCTGCCTCCTTCATACCAAAACCCCTCACATATATATATATAGTACCTTTCACTCTATGTAAAACAATTTTTTTGCTAGATTTGTGTGATTACGTGCATATCTAGGAACATGTCTTGACTTTAAAAGTAGATGAAAGAAATTCTTGTTTAACTGAATGACGTGATGGAAGGAGATACCTTGTTTATCGGAGTCTTTGGTGTTTCTCTTTCCCTGTAGAAATCAGGCAATGGCCGGGCTTTGAAGCAGAAGTTTTGGTGCAGTTTTCTAAGTTCTGTTTCCGCTTTCTCCTGCACAAATAAAAGAATGAACATGAAAAAGTTGAGCATGGTTATTTCTCAGTTTGGCCAAAAACTTTTATTTCATTATATTTTGAGGTGGAGTGGCTGGTTGGCGGGCATTGAGCATCCCAGATATGGTATCGAGGAGGCCATGAAGAATATTTGAGTCATATACCTAATCATTTAGAAGAAAACTTGGCAATGAAAGAATTTAACCTCTAGTTTTGGTTGCAGCTGCACTTTTTGTTCCTCCTTGGAATTGAATTTCTCTTCAAGCTTCTGGAAGTTTGGAGGAAGAAAATGATACAGTAACAGAACAAAGACATCCATCATGCATTATTATGGCTCAACAGATACATCAGGTATAAAGGATAGAAGAAAAAACAACTGACCAAAGCCTTGCCTGCTTTCTTCTTGCAGCTCTTTCCTTCGTCCTTAAAATAAAAGGAGTCGATAAAGGTGGAGACTGTAATTTCTTTTGGCAGGCAGTCACGGATTTAGAATAACTGGCATACAAGCACAATTATGACAGGATTTAGTGTTTTTCAAGGTAGTCCATGGGACAATGGAAAAGGATGCCTACGGTCTTTGATTCAATTGTTAATTTCAGGATACTTAAATCAAAACCGTTGTGATTTGCAACCAAATTCATTTAGGGCAGATGGTGCCACTGCTACCTTGTATTTGGAAACCAGTGACATAATCTCAGGCCTAAACATTTAGTGGGCTCGACAACACTAAGCATCAGGTCAGTTGAGCTGTCATTGCTGTCAACATATGATAACAGGATTCTGGAGAATGTCTGTCATGTGTCCAAATGTAATCCCATCGGTCTAAAGAGGCTCAATAGAAGTATGCATGTTCAACATATTCTAAAATTTTTGTTGGATGTGCCAATACCATGATGGCTGATGGGACTATCTATAACACATTGGGGAATGATTCACAATAATATCCTTGTTCTTACACTGCAGATAGGGTGTGCCATTTCGGCCCAGCTGTTTTATTTCCAGAAGCTGTGAGATCAACTGTTTCTTTGACCCTGTAAGTGTAGAGATGACAAAAAGAGTTAAGATTAGTCAGAGTACTCATCGAAAACACATCTATATTAGTTACAAATCTGAAGCCCTTCAATTTTTTGCAGAATTAGATAGACAAGATACCTTCTATTTTCTGAGCAAGGGTTTGCTGAAGGATGCTTTGGCACCCCATTCACAAAACCCTGCAGTTGGAAAAGCCAACAAATTTAACAGGTGTAGAAGTGTCCGCAGATGAAATTTGGAACAGCATTTAGAAAAAATAATGTTGTAATAAGTAGGCAGCAGGGAAGTACCATTTTTGTTGTCCTTAGAGGGGTTGCATAATCTTTAGTTGTTGCCTTAATAGCACTAAGAGCAACTCTAAAACATTCAGTCTTCTGTCCAGCAGGGTTAGTCGATTTAACATGTTCTCTTGAGGGAGAAGAACTAATGACTGTATGTAGTGATTTTGGAGTTGATCTATATTGATCTGTGGAGGCTATTGTAAACTTCTTAGGGGTTGGAGCTACGTTCTCTTTCCAGGCCTGCATTGGAGCAATGGACTTGCCAGGCGCAGTTGGAATTTTAGATGGTCTACAGAAAACTGATGGCTTTAAGGAAGACAGAAATGGTTTCTTCTTGATCATGGGCAATGAAACATCCTGACTAGAGCTGGAATTCTGTCATATTAATACCGATAAAATTAGTTATTTAACATTGATATGAACACATGAACAAACATCAGGGATAAGAAAATTGAAAAACACTACCCCCAGTAAAGGTTTCTCCACTGGTGGAGTTCCACTAAGCTCCCCAGAAACCATAATTTGATACTCATCATCCTCAACCTGGTTATGTGTCGTAGGATTTTCCACTAGAGTCCCCTTTTCAGTCACCAAATCAGCTCCTTCCATCTTGGTACTCTCTGGTTGAACAATTGAATTACATTCATCAGCATTTTGAATGAATTCCACCTCGGTATCCTGGGTCTTGCTCTCATGTTGTTCATCCGCAGCAACTTGGGAGCCCAAAACCATAGATGGTGAATCGTGGGTAGAAGTATCATCATCACAAACTCGGCCTTCCAATTCTGGTTCGGAGGTGTCGGTGGCAACGATTAGTTGATCAAGCAACACTGCTGCAGCCTTCTTAGTTGCAATTCTCTTGTAATGAGCTTCAAAGAAAGCCTTCTTCTGGGCGACTGATCCTGGCTGGGCATACCTCTCAGCCTCTTCAACGTAGCGCTTGTGAGAGAATGTTGACCATTTTTCCCAAGCTAAGGACTCTGACATGTACCTCCCAAAAGATATCGACTCTCCAAGAGCATGTAGAGGATTTCCCTGTAAAAACAAGTGTACCCATGTTCTCAGATACAAAGTACATGATGAACTGACAGTTCTACGATGAAATGTTGAAGTATATAAGACAGATAATGGGTAATGGTAACTATATCCTCTTTGGCTCACCTGATTGGCTTCTTTGGGTATGCCAGAGGCATAAGAGAAAGGATGCATGTGACAAGTTGGTTCTCCCATGCCTTCCTCAGTCTGAGAACTGAGTGAGAGCAGTAACGTCGTGATGATTTTTATTAAGACTTCAAATTCAAATTCTGATGAAAAGCTTAAGTTATTCTTCGTGGGAAAAAAAGAGAAAGGTAGGTTACACTGTAGGCAAAAGAGAAGTCTGATGGAGGTTTTTCAATTCTAAGTGGTGGGGTTTCCTTTCAAATCTTGCTTCCAAAAGCTCCAGACGCCAGTCCTCCTCAACTGGTTCTGGGTCCCGCTTCGTTGATCGTTCAATTTTTTGAATTTTCTAGGAGGGGAAGGTGTTCCAATGGATTTCTCCATGGGTCTTGGCAAAGAAAGGTTTAGTTTTCAAATTTTTTAGATCAAAAGACAAAGGCCAACAGTTCCGCTGTTTTATCCAAGCTCTACTCTACTGCTGTTTTATCTAATTCTATCAATGGATTAACTTGATTTAAGCTCATCCCATCTGTAACGTGCGCTTGAAGCACAAGATTTACACCCTTATTCCGCTTCAAAATCCCCACCCCACTGCCGCCGTCGCCCTCCTCATCCTCCACCCAGAACCCCTTTAATCTGCCCGTTAGAGTTCAGCAGGAGATTAAAAATAAAATGCATTAAAGAATTTCATCAGAGAAAACCAACATTCTTAATAATTCAAAAATAGAACAATTAGATATTTACAGAGCATTGCTTCCTAAGCCCTCTTCCTATAATTTAATTGTTTTCCACCTACATAAATTGGTTATTTTCAAGAACCAGAAACATTTAATTAGAAATTACAGAATGATAGTAAGATCCCCCACCCCCAAAACAACACATAAACAGCAAATCAGCAGCTGCTTCACCACCACTTGTCTATTGGATTGAAGCATATCTTTTACTATGGAAGTAAATCAGCGGTTCATAGATACGATGCAAATACTCCTGTGTTGCTACAAATTTTGGGACCAGGCATGTTAGGAGAAAATGTCCAACACCATAAACTTTAATCCCACTTTACTTCTCACCAGTTGAACCACATCCGTTGACGCGTGGCTTGGAGTTATAGGATTGAAATGATCAACATCACTTCCATCTGGGCGGATCCCGGCTCAATCCATGCCTTTTTAAAGTTTTGATGTAATCTCTCATTAGGGTGAACTTATTGCTCCCAAGATGATAGAAATAATCCCAGGTATAGATCCCAGTTTTATGCAGGTCATCAAAGAGTAACCTAGCAGCAAAAGAGAATGAACTAAATCAAAATGGAGAGGCTTATTAACCAGAGAAGCAGCCTTTAAAAATAAAGTACCTTACCCCGTAGTTTCCTACGGGCTCTGCAGACATGATCCCAATGTGACGCCTGCCAAATATCACCTGTTCAGGGATGCCAGGCATTCTGTTAGGGACTTGATGATGACCATGCAATAATCATGGTAATCAATTGGATATATCCAAGCAATAGCCAAATTCTTCTGAAGTTGGCAATAGATAAATCATCAGCCAAAAAATTAAAAAGAGTAAATTAGTGCGTACAAACCTCTAAACCAAATTAGTGATTAATAGTTTAGACTGAATGGAAGATTAAAAATCTCTCTCTTCCTTCTCGTGCATCTTATTCACAACGCATAAGAAACCCGCAACCACATGAAGCCTAGATGTGAGACTGGAGACTCCAGATTCCAAAATTTTTGAAGGATACTGGATGATCTCAACTATTTAAGTATGCCATCTCTTACAAAAAGACTAGGCAAAAATCATCAACGGTAAATTAAGGCGGTAAATTAAGGCTTTGGCATCCATCTCACTTGACATTCACATTGACATCATAATCCATAGAAGTTGAAGCACATAGGAAATGAATAATTTGACCAATTACCTTTTCACCTCCAACCAACCTAACCTTACTGTCAGCAGCTGGACTATATATTCTTAAAAACTCAGCTGACAAATTATACGCACTTCCATTGGCAAATTCCACCTCTACCTGATACAAAAGTTCAGCATAAGGCAGATGAGTACAAGAAGATTACAGAAACAAACTGAGAAGTGCTAGCATATAATTAAGTCACTTTTTTTTTTACCTTTTTGTCAAGTTAGTATACACCATTAGGACAATATTGCAAAGCCGAACACCATAAGTAAGTAACAGAAATGAAACACAACAAAAAGATAGAATGTGTTCTCCAGTAACATTATCTCTGTGCATTTAACAGTGTTCTCAGAAGTCTCAGCTTACACCCTACAACTTCAGTGTAAATGTAATGACATTTCATCTTACCATTAAAAACAGAAAAAAAAAAACCAAAGAAAAAGAAATAGAGTAATGCATAAAAGATCCTGCAAACTTCAAACCAGCTCAGAAACAGAATGAAACCCTGAATAAAGATGTGGGCTTGCCAGTTGCCCAGTTACAGTACCTAGACAAAACGTTCATTTGTTAACATTTCAGTACCTAACTAATAAGGCACTTGTCCCCTTTTTTCTTCTTATTTTTGTATATAAAGCAAAGCCTCCATGTTAGCTAGCCAACTTGCCCATTTCCCGAACTGAAAAGCATCAAGCAGGTAAGATTTTTATGACACCACAAGATGCTCTCATGGTAAACACTAATTCTTCTACAGCAAAAAGTACCAATGTAAACAAACCCCATCAATTTCCCTCACTAATAGTTATACCCAAATGCGATTTCAAACCATTTCCAGCTTTAGGATATATTAAGTTCATGAAAAAGAAAAGAAAAAGGGCATCTGAAATGAGAAAACTAAACTTCTACAAGTCCGATCAGAGGACAATATTCTTCATATTAACCCTTTACCCGAATATGGGCACTCAATAAATCAAGTAGGCTGTTAATAAGCTATGCATTGATAGATTATATAAAAGTAAATGATTTAGATATCTAAGATCGATCATTTATGAAGAGATCGGAAATGATATAACTCATATAATCAATGCTGGTTGGCTTAAATGGATGAAAGAATATTATGTGATAGAAAGATACCAATAAAATTGAAAGATAAGTTTTACCGAACACCTACAGTATGGGACAAAATGAGTGTAGAAAATGCTAAGGTGCCGTGCCAAAAAACTAGAAAAGATAGAATACAAAATGACTGTATCAGAAAAATAGTAAGAATAGCTCCAACAGAGGATAGAAAAAAAATTAAGAGACACCGGTTTGAAAAAGTGAGTACTAGAAGTAGGATAACATTAAATTAACAATAAACGAAATAAGAAGAAAATATAAAAAAATATTTAAATTAAATAAGTGATTAAAATGAATGGCAAAATCGGATCCATATACCCTACCCCAATTGGGACATAATGTTTGGTTTAGTTTAATTTGATTTGACAGATTATATACAAAGAATAAAAAATAAGGTACTGAAAGAAGCAAAGAGATTAACGAAACTCAACTTGCAAAACAAATTTAGAGTAATAAACAGACGAATAGTGAAAATGAAAAGCTTACGGTCTTAGGAGCGAGGAGAGAGAATCTGGTGAGCCGCGGACAGTTCACGGCCGTCTGGATGCTTCGAATCGCACTCTGTATTGCATACATCCTCTCCCCCTTCTCTCTCTCTCTCTCTCTCTTGGTGACTCGGTGAATCGCCTAACTGCTAACTTGTAAAGCACTTATATGTCGATTCGGCTTGGACTTCCAGGCCCAATCATATTGGGCCTAATGTTCTTGAAGTGTCCGCCCATAACTCATCATGGACTATTTCAACCTGACATTGGGGTTCGTTATTTCATTGCGGTTCCAATATTTTTCTGGTGGACCCAACGTTACTAGATCTATTTTTTTTTTCTCTTCAAAAAAGAAAGTAATCAGATTTTAATTCAAATTTAATCTAAATTTGAATACATAGATATAAATTGATATTTTTTACATAATGTAATAGCGATATGAATATTTTTTGTTTTGATAACCTAGGAACTCCCCACCAACCGAGCTTATTTGGACCTATGACCAGTAGTTAACATGAACTCGCGTGCCAAATCTCTTCTCTATTAATGTCAACTTAAGGTATATATTGAGTTTATGTATAAAACACAAGTTTGACTAATTATAAAAATATATATATATATACTTATAAAAACTTTTAGAAATATTTATTTAAAAAAAACTTATATAAATATGAGCTATTGTATTCCAATTGCCAATAGGATCATAATCTAAGTTGGGTTGTGTTATGTTGGGTAGTAGTAGTTATAGTTAGTTATGTCTTTCTGTAACACGTTGATTAATGGCTTCAAATAGCAAGCATGGTTGTAATATGGTCTCTTTATTACTCGTATTGTGTTTAAATTGACAAGCATAATCAAGCTATTTGTATTTCATTAAACTAATATTTTTGTTACTTGTATTTTTTTTTCGGAAAGTAATATTTTTGTTACTTGTATTATTAAATCAAGTAATAGATAAATTCTATCTTTTTTAATTAATAAGTTGGTTAATATTATTGTAATTGTGCCGGTTATCTATTTGTTCTTCAGAGACTGTCGGGCTTATTAACTCTTCTTATCTTTAATCCAATCCCAAATATAATTGGGAGATCTCAAAACAAAAAACAATGACAGATGCTGCTGTTGGTAAATGGAAGATATTTCAGCCAGTACCAAGAAGTTGAAAGTTGTCATCCAAGTTTCCTGCTTAGAGTTGATTCTAGAGACGCTGAGATTAGAATAAAGAAAGCAAGGGATGGAAGTGAGTCCATTGCAGAAAAGACTTGTGGACAAATCAAAACCATTGTTTAGAAAAATTCAGGTATTTTGTATGTGGTGTAATATGGCTATAATGATCATTGCTTTTGTTTCTGGTTTGGTATTCTGTTCTAGGCTGGCTCTAATTTGGTTTAGGTGTTTAGGTTTACAGGGTTCTTAGATAATCACAGTAATCTTCAACAACTTCAAGATGTGAGCAACCCAAATTTCCCGGTTGAAGTGGTATCTCTTTTTTCCAGTACTCTTAAAAGCTTCTCAATGATCTAACTAAACCACCCTTCATGTTTCTGTCACTCATGACCTATAAGCTTAAGAGACAACAATATTTGTTGTCTAAGCATTTTATATGTATTTTGATCTAATTGAGAAGTGGTGGGTCTTGAACATTACTTCATTCACCCCTTCAACAATCTTTCTCTCTCTCTCTCTCTCAATAACTGTTAAATTTTTTTTCTTAGGTGTGTTCTGTTTTGGCATTTAAATACCCAGTTACTGAATGTGGCAAACTAAGCTACCTATTATTATTCCTTACATCCCTTCATCTTCTTTTAATAATAACATTGAATCCATTTTTTTGTATTATTAATTATCTTTAATACCAATAACTCCTATCTGGTTTCTATCCTAAGCTCATCATATTCTATGTTAATTTTCCTCCATCACCATCTTCTTGACTAACAAAGTTCTCTTTGACAGGTTGACTAACGAGAAAGGTTGATGACCAACTTGCCCTGGAATTAGGATGTCCAAGGCTGGTGAGGAGTCTGTTTTTGTAGGTAATAGACTCATTCTAACATAATAATAGTTTGTTAGAGGCTACCTTACTTTTTGTATGATTAATCTTGTGATTTGAGTCCCCCCGTGTTTTATTTCTGGATTGCATATTAGTGCTTCCTATTTTCCTTTCATGCTCAAATTCATTCATCAAACTCAATTCTTTGATATCTTTTACTTATTTGGGACCTACTTTGAGGATCTAATACATTGTGCTCAAATTAGTAGTGGATCATCCACTATTTCTCTGAAGGCCACATCCCAAATTAGGTACAAGTGTTGTTATGATCATTTCTCTTTGTTCAATGCATGCTTGTTATTATCATTCAGATGATTATACTTAAAATTTGGCTGCTACTTAGTATCAACAATAAGTCTGAAAAATATCTAAAAATATAAAATTGTGATATTTATACCCTGTCGAAATAAGGAACCATGATATATATGTTTGGAATGAATACATTCCATTTTGAGAGAGTTGAAAAAGCACCCTTTTTTTTGGGTGTGAAACAGTGTGACTACCTTGTTACTACGACTTCACTCCAGTCACTAGCCCAGTATTTGGCATCCCCCTCTATGCTTGTTTAAATACACGTTTGTTATCATCATTTTGTCGATTACAAGTGTATGGCGTAATATATACTTTAGACCAATCATCGAAAAGATGAGTAATAAGCAAATTCATGATTCAAATTAACACTTATATTTATACCTTTGTGGCATTCAGATAGCACGTTTATACTTATATGTCGCTTTGATTGATTTTTGATTACTTTGCACATTGGATATTGAGTTTTTAAATTTTATGCTGTCAAATGTGGACGAGTAATTCTACACTGACCAAATTTGAGGACTAAATTTAGAGCTCAAATGACATGACAACTGACTTTGGCTTCTTTATTTTGTGTCATGTCATTTGGGCCTCAATAAGAGCTCCAAATAATGTGTTGTCAAGTCATTTGGTCCTAAGATTTGATCAACATAGCATTACTGAATGTAGACTTACTCTGCGTTTTTTTTATAATTCCCTTTGCACACTTAGTTTGTATATTTACACTAATTTTGTATTCATTTTTAGTATTTACATGTCGTTTCTATAATTTATAGGCCTTGATAGTCCCAAGGCAATCTATAGACAAATTGTAAGCGAGCCGAAGCAAAAGGATGTGTTTCAAAGCATCTTCTGCATGAACCTTTTTTTCAAAATAAACTCAAGAATACTGTTGAACATCTGCATCTACCAAACATAATTTTATCTATTCCATCAATAGTTGGGCTGGTACTTCAGAAAGAATTTTCAAATTCAATTCATTTTTTAGTGCAATAAACTGATTTTGCTAGCTGCAAATTGAGCCTACAATTCTTAAACTGAGTCATCACATTGCTACGTACTCTGTATTTTTTTTACCCTGAACACTTGAAGAAGAGTTCTAGATTCGAAACTTCTCTTGGAGTGTTCCCGAATGAGTTTCAAATCAAATAGGTGGTTGTTTGTGTTGTGTCAACGTCGGATTTGACAACCCAAAGGGAAAGAACGAGACTGAGTTGGTTTGTTGTGCCTATGCTTATTAGCCATAGCATCTGGAACTGTTCACAAAAAGTAAAAGGCAATGTTATATGCCCCGACCCATGGAATTGGAAGGTATAGAGAAAATAATTCAGCATTTTTTACAGTATTATGGATAGAGATGCCAAAAGTATAAGACCAACCATATGCTTCTTCTTGGCACAAAGGTCAACGGTGATTGTTGTCGCTACCTAAGGAAATATATATCTAAACAAAATTCTTAAAATTGATGAAAAAATTAGTATAAAAATTCAGCTGTATTTTAATTTCAATCTATATTTTACCAACGCCAACTCAACTATAATTCAAAACTATTCACGTGCAAAAGTTTGCACGTGTGCATTAACTAGTTAGATTAAAACTGAGTTTTATCTAATATTAAAATTTACAAATAATTCACTAAATGCATTAAATTAGATCCGTGATTAAGTCTTTAAATCAAGTCTCTATAGCATGAGATAGATAGCTCTTGGGGCCAACTAATGAAAAATTTATTCGTTATGAATATCTTAATTCTCGCATGGGTAGCATTCTTTTGACTAAACCAAAGAAGAGATTAGGTGAGGGGCACATATGCTGGTCCGAACACCCCTGCCTGTTAAATTAAAAAAGAATAATATTATTAAAACTTAAAAATCTGATTTAATTTGTTGATACAACGACGTAGCAATTATATCAATTATTGTGACGGTAACTATTAGACTTTTTTATTGGGACTTTATCACTTGACATGTTATTAGATTAATAAATTATATTAATTTTTTAGATTTCAATAATTTTGTTTACCAAAACAAGATAAATAGCCGTTATATCCTACTCGCCTAAACAATCGGAACCCATTCAAAAAATTCGACCGTTATACTTTCCGGAAAAAATTCGACCGTTATGCTTCGTCCTCCCTCCTCTCTTTTCGCTCTCTCAAATTAGACTATCCAAGAAAGAGTTTCAAATCCAGTCCTAAACGAACCCAAATATGATGAGTGACGAAGAACCAAAACAAAGCCCTGAAAACGGAAAATATTCCCCACCAAAACAACCAGACACAATCGAAAACGGCGAAAAAATTGATACCATGCTCAGCCCGGGGTTCAGATCCGTGGCTGCAATGGCCGGTTGGGATGAAGAGACGCTTCTAATCGCAAGTTCTGTCGTGGAAGACACACCCGATCGCGGTCCCAAACAGACGAAACGCCCCGATTTACACTTCAAGACTCCACCAACCAATTCAAGAAGGTATAATATTATATATTCAAAACATTGACGTAGATAAGTACTTTCTTTGTCTTTTGAGAGGCTTTTTACTTGATATTGGATTGTTGTCTTTTCAGAAAACGCAGGGCCGCCCAGAGGAAGAGTCCTGTTTCCACACCTGTAGAGGTTCTTAACCTTGATGAAGATGAAAGTACCAAAGAAGGTAATGTGTTTACTTACTGTATTTGTGGATGATCTTTTTGGGCAAGTTTGTTTCTTTACCTTCTTTCGTGTTACCGATCTACAGAATGTGTGAAAACGAAGACAGAGCCCAAAATCAAAGCCAATGAATTTAATAAAACAAATAACGACGAGGAGTCGATTGCACAGGGCTCTGGTGATTCTTGTTCAAGTTCGGCTATTCCGTGCATGGACAAACTCCGGGAAGAGCTTTCTTGCGCAGTAAGAGTCTTCCTCTTCTTGTTCTTGAATTGGGTTTCCTAGTTCAACACTGCTATGCTTCCGTCCCAAATAACGTGTCACAATTTTTACCATCAAATAAGTGGGTCATTCAATAATGGAGATTGTGTCACATCAATTGGGATGAAAAACTTGATAAAGAACTTGGTAAGCATAACATTACTGTTACTAGTTTCCTCTATTTATAATTCGATCTGATCCATGTTGTAGATTTGTTTGGAGATTTGCTTCGAACCCAGCACCACTCCTTGTGGTCACAGGTAAAACCAATTTTATAATTTCAATTCAGTTCAATTTCAGATCATCTTAGTGTGAATTAATTAATCAATTCTCAAAAATTATTGTAAATTTTTCAGTTTTTGGAAGAAATGTTGAAACCAATATGACAAATTTGTAGTTTTTGCAAGAAATGTTTGAGATCTGCGGCAGACAAATGCGGGAAGCGATGTCCAAAGTGCAGGCAGCTCATTAGGTACTTTTAATCATACTTCTAATCTGAACAGACAATCCTTTAAGGCCTCCTTAAACTGTGATTGAAAGATTTGAACTCTTTTTATTGTTATTTTTTTTTATTGGGTTGTTGAATTTTTGTAGCAATGGAAGATCCTGCACTGTGAACACGGTTCTGTGGAATACTATACAGCTCCTGTTTCCACAAGAGATCCAAGCAAGGAAGGCAGCTGCAGCCTCAAAGGGGGGCCAAGAAGCAGAAGAGCTTCAAAGTCTTGCCGGAATGAGTCGTTATAATGTGCGAAACCGGACTGTACTTGCATTAGAAAGTCCCGAGGCCGAACGCCAAGTCCCAGAAAGGAGGAGCCATCACAGGCTGAGAAATCAAGGTGTCCAGCCTTCCGAGATATCGAGCAGAGGAGGAGATGGTGTGAGGAGACGAAGAGAGGTGCCAAGCCAAGATGAGGATGCTGCATTGGCTTTGAGATTGCAGAGAGAAGAGTTCATGGATGCTTATAGAGGAGGCACTGACGAGCAATACAGAAGCTCTTTTACATCAGCCAGAGCAAACTTGAGAGCTATGGCATCTAGAGCCATTAATGTCCGTCTTAGAGGCCGGCCAACCTAGAGCTTAATTTGTCATTGCTTGTTCTAAACATTCTGCAAACCTAATACTTACTTATTTTTTTTGGTTTACCCGTTAACGGTATCCGAACCAATTTTTGAACACCATGATTCCTCTCTTTCTAGCTTTTTTTTTAGCTTACAGGCACCTCGACTCTCCTATCTGATCTAGTCAAAGTCCGGACCAACTTACAAGCATTTCAACTCCCCTCTATTTGAGATTTTTTTTTTTTGATTTAACGATCAGGAGTGTTCAAACTAGCCTACGAGCACCTCAATTCTCCTCTCCTCTCTGGTCCAGTCAAAGAGAGGTATCCACGTCGGGATTAATATACTCATAAAATGACCTTGCCCTAAAAAATTATCAAAATTTAAATTCGCGGATATCTTAGTTTATAGTTCGTCTCTGTTCTTAATTTATATGAAGAAATTGAATACATTTACGGGCATGTTTGGTATGTTTTTTGGGAGGGATTTAGATTAGCTTGTTCAAATCTAGGTTTAACCAAAGATGGAATTCAAAGAAGGGATTTAATATTCAATGTTGTACATACTCATGTTTAGTATGCACAGGATATATGACTATTATGGTAATATATTTGTATTTAAATAACTAATTTAATCTAAACATGAGTATGGATATATGGACCCATAAATGTCATTTGAATGTAAAACCCCCAAACCCACATATGAAACTCACCCCCACCCATGGATTTCATGAAACCCATGAACAAGGGTTTCATGACCAGCCGAATTTTAATAGTTACCAAATATGAGTTTAAGGGATTTAGTCATCAACCCATGTTCCAAAACCACCCCAAACCCAATTTCAATAGTTACCAAATATGAGTTTAAGGGATTTAGTCACCGACCCATGTTCCAAAACCACCCCAACCCCACATACCAAACAGCCACCTAATCCTCCCCCCTTGAATTAACCGGAGGCTCAATGTTGAAGTCCAAGAGGTAGAATCGAAACTGCTGAAATTCTGACATATTTTGGTGTGTAAAGATGTGCCATAGAATTTGTCACAAACACGACATTATGTTAATGTTTAATGTGCAAAAAAATTCATAGGAAACATAACATAACCTAGGTCTTCTATTGTTTAGTGGGAAGACATCAGAATCCATCAGACATCACATTGCCCGAATGATCTGTAATAAAGTAGCATGTTAAAGATTCGATGCTCTTCTTTGAATCCCCTGCCCCTGTAGAGTGAAAAATCGTTGCTATCAAAAATAAAAAACATGAATCACCCATTAAACATGGATCCCACTTAAATTCATGATCCATCCACCAGAAATTGAGAAGAAATGTAACAGGAGATCGATCTTTCAACCAAAATCAACTGGCTGATTTTGTGAGCCATTTAGCTTTTGATAGATCAGAATGAAAGGAATTGAATGAGTTTTAAATCGATTTTGGTTCACATAATTTACAGAGGCGTATAATGTCCGACAAATCTGAATTGCAAAATTGTGGTGACCGAAGCCATAACCATGGTACCTCTCACCAAATTACACATTACAAGGGAATTTCAAAGGACCCAAGTGCTTAAAAAATTTAATATGTATGGCATTTCCGAGCAGCTCAGTTAGTGTCTGTGAGAATGCTTTCGGCCGCTATTATATGCATCACCCTTCTCCCTGCTCCTTCTCTGTAAGATTCTGAACGCAAAGGAAACAAATCCAATGGCAGCCATGGCATAAAATGCTCTGTAAGGAGCCAAGGCCAAGCCCGAAAGATAGGAATAGTATCCAGAGAGCAAGTAGGCAAAGCTTAGGCTAACTTCCCATCCCTGGATGCCTGGGAAGGGAAACAAGAAAAAATCGAACCCAGGCTTTGAATCACAAACACCATGGAGGATGACACCAATACAAAATGCTGAATCCCAGAACCATGGAAAGCTTTGACCTATACCTATTCTCTGCAAACATGGAAGGGTCCAATAAGAATGCTATGAACAATAAACATTGTTTCCAAGCAAGTTCAGATGGATGGAAGATATTTGAGAGCACCAGTGCATGATTTCATAACTTACTGCAAATGTGAAGAGTTCAACGAACAGAAAACAAAATAAAACAGATGATTAGGAAGGCAAAACTGATATGAGTAATCTCTCATATACAGGCCATAAACTTGTACAAATTCAGAAGCCAATAAACTGTATGCACTGTAAAATACACCCAAGTTGAAGCCAAAGAGATATGATCAAGAACTTAAAAAATAAAACAGAAAAGGCCATGGAGAATGTGACTAGCCCCTAAGGGTTGAAGAAAAGAATGATGGAAGTGAGAAGACATAGAAGGTGAAGTGAAAAAAATGAAAAAACAGAAGGAAAGTATGTTTTCATGCATGCAACTGATTAGGACAAGAAAGTTTTCAAACATTAGTAGGAGAATTTTACTTTATAAAGCACAAAAGTTGCAAGAAATTTTTTATACTGGACGAGAAAGTGTCATTCCTCACTAAAAACTTAAGTTTTCAAAGTAGCAAATCAGTTTTCTGAAGTTTTCTCACATGTATTTGGCTAGAATTATATTATTATTTCAAAGAAGCGAATCAGTTTCACTTTAGGAGTTGTAGAGCAAGGAAGTCATTGCGACTGTCATGGGAAATTTTTAATTTTCTGGAGTTTTTGCAAGAAAAATATCTGGTTACTCCTGAGAAAATCAATTAAATATAGGAAAGGCACTTTCTCAATTATTTTCAGTTTCCTATTAACAGAACTCATCGAAAATGGCCAAAAATCTTCTCTTTCCTGTTTTTTTCAAAATTCTCCATACTACCAAACACAGCCTTAATGCATAATATTTCTAAAATTAGATATATTAAAGCAATTTTTTCTAGTTAACTAAATAAAACCCTTATTGGGCTACTTAGGGTTCAAAATTAGTTGTGCCATGATTAGTTGACGTGAAAACGTTACATTGAACCCTGCACAAAAACACAAAAACATGGACAATAAGTATTAAGTAAGCATATCATGCAGTATTCAGTACACTCTAGCAGAAATTCGGGGAAGAACCAAAGTTCTAGATAGGATATAGGACAATATAGTATTTCTTCGTTCATTCCCATCCAATCAAAAAAGGTTTTTTTATGATTGGGTGGATTGATTTCTAGATCTTGATGAATTGTAAGATCGATCTAAACCAGCCCATCATATTATGGATATGATTCAACATGCCAACTATTAAACAACTTACTAGAAATACAAGATAGCCAATCCGAAATGTCACGAAATCCCCCACTCTTGGGGGATGCCCTCAGCGTCGAGGAACATGTACCACCCTCAAATAAGTAAATATATATTGGGATGTCTCTTAGTAATGGCTAATGGTTGCTCGCATGATTTGGAATAGAGTAATATCTTCTATGTAAAACATGAAGCAGCTCTATCTAAGAACTTCTAATTGAGATATGAATATACACTAGATTGTACAAAAAGGTTGTTGTCACACAAAGGAAGGGACACATCATTTATACCTGCAGCCAAGCCACAAATGAGGGGACAAACATCAGTGCTGCAAGCAGATGTAAAACCAGCAAGCCATGGCAGTGGTGGAAGATCTCTAACTGTGTGTCTTCATAGCTTCTTGCAGAGTCTGGGCTGCTGGAACTATTCTCGTCCACAGGAAATTGCTTGTTGACTCCACCATCATATTTTAATACAAGTTGCTTAGAGCTTTGGTCGTCTTCATTTCTGGAATCAAATAACTCCTTATTTCGGGCATGGCTGCGAAAGGAAGCCGTCAAAAAACTGTTTACAAAGACAAGAATTGACTTTTAGCATCACCTTTTTCACACCAAACATAAACATCAAACCTAGACAAACCTCTGAAATGCATTAACTATGTGGAGTTTGATAATAGGAAAAAAAAAAAAAGCAAATGTCACACAATTGCAAATGTGCATTTGACATATTACAAAATAGAACAGGGAGTCATTTCCAAAGTTTAGTGCTTGTGTTTCTCATATTGAACGGGTGTACTCCTCAAACACAGTGCAAAGTGCATGCAGTAGATGGATAATGACCACGACTGAACCAAACCAAATCAAGTCTTTTCTCCCAATCATTTGGGTAAGCTACATGAACCTTATTTTGTCACTCTACTCCATCAAGGGTCATGTAGTTAAACCATACTCACTCATGTCCCTCACTGACGTCATTCCATGTCAATTGGTCTTCCCTCCCCTTAGCATTTCTCCTCTATCTCTGCCCCAGAATATTTATGGGGGTTCAACATTCAATTAATTGGATATCCATGATAAACAGAATGAAACTGCCAATGGCTTTGTGCAACAAGTGCAAACCTTCGTGGTGTTCTAAACGTTACTGGTAAAAAATAATACTACCCAAAATCATCCTTGTGCAATGAAAAGGAACCCTGTAAGTTTTGGATTATTAAAGCCCAGCAGATTAATTGTAATCTACAACAGGAGTCTAGCAGAACTGATTTCTTAATGACGTAAAGAGGTACCCCACTATAGAGATTACCAACCTACATAATTAGTTATTGCATCCTCTTATGAGCTCAAAACTGCTGTTAAAATTTAGATACATTTGAGTGCCAGAAGATCCCCATCTTTTAAATTCTGGTTGAGCTTTCAGTTGATTGCCACCTTCTTATTTCATGCATCAGACTCAAAAGATATACTAAAACACAATATGGGAACAAAATTCTTGTTTATGATACAGGATCTTACCTAGAGTCTACTTCTTTTAAGCTAATATTAATAGGTTGCCATTGTATTCTTGGGGGCTATATAGTATTCTTATGATCAAGAAATCAAAGTAGAGGATAAGAAAGGAGGCCATTTCCCAGTACTTCGTATCCTCAATGCAATTTGCTGGGATGGACAAATTGGATACAGACTTGGCCATGGCTATTACTTGCAAAAAATACGGCTCTCACAATCAAACCCGTGTTGCGATGCTCGACAGCAAGTGCCTCCACCATCACAAAGCTGAGATTTTGTACAGACTTGTCCATCAGCATTACTGGCAAAAAGTGGCTGCTTTCACACTGAAACCCATATGTTATGCATAGCAAGTGCTTCCATCTTCACACAGCTGACGTCGTGGAGTAGGACACTTTCACAATTGTTTTTTTTTTTTTTTTGGGGGGGGTGGAGAAGGAGGAGGGGGATCTTCGTTTGAGAGAGAAGGAAACTAAATCTAAAACTCAATTTGACATCAGCAATTGTTAAATATGCTGGGCAAGAATAGGTTGTTTTTTTTTCATATTAAGATCCCAGAACTTAAAACATCACATAATATTTATTTCGTTCATATACAAAAATACTCATTTCGTTAAGAAAAATAAAATGAATACCATAGCCAATATGAAACTGGAATTGTACCTGGACAGCGCATTGTGACAGCATAAAGCTTGGCATAAGAGCAATATAAAGAGACCCAAAGCTGGATGAACCAAGCACACCAAGGTGATTGCAACCAGTGATGTAACAAGAAAGGGCTTGACCCTTATGATCTTTACGACCTGCTTACGAATAAATTGGATAATTGAGAAATTAGTCACCCGTCACTATATGAGTCTTGGGGTTTAAAGAATTCAACCACTAACAATGTGATTCTCAGCTACTAATTACATAACTGCATCAGAAAAAAAAAATTACCTTGAATGATAAAAAAAAGGAGGCAAGACAGACGAACCAGCGAAGAAACAAAAAACAAAAGTTTCTTTCCCACACCTGCCACCTGCAAAATATCACCTCGTCTTTAGCTGATAAGAAGGGTGGCTTCAACTTACAATCCAGAGAAGATATCAAAATAAGCATCTTAGGGTTAGACGATTATAGATATTTTAACAAAGGTTATCAACTTCTCCAGGATGGCCCTCGACAAGTTGTGAATGAATAACTGCATGACATTTGGGAAGGTGTGCAAGGGCTCAAGCTAGGATGTAAGCTCTTATTGCTTGTTATATAAAGGAATGTTGAAATATAAACATGTGAACTATACAAAAAGGTGCATGTCAAGATTAGCCAGGAAAACAAAGCAGCACTCAAAAGAGAAAGCAAACTAGGCTGTGTTAAGAATAGTAGGGTAGTATGTGTAAATTGTTAATAGTAAGAGGGTGAATGTGTAATTCTTATTATTGAAGGTTAACTATAAATACAAGTGATATATGAGAACTAGGTTAAGTTTTTAACCTCTCTCTGTTTCTCCCTAAATATTGTCTCTAATATTATGTTAATCTTTCAAACTTAACATGGTATCAGAGTAAGGTTTAATACTAAATATATTTAGAAAATAAATTAACTCGATTTGTTATGGTGGTACTGTTGATCGTCGTTCACTGTGTGTGGTAGTGTTGTCAGTGGTGGTCTGTTGTGGTGTATGTGTTGTGGTGGTTCCTGGTGGTGTGGTGGCAGTGTTGGTCGTCGCTTGTGGTGTGTGCTATGTCAAATAGTACTCTTCATGGTAGTGGTGTAGTTGTGGTGGCTGAGGTGCATAGAGGTAGCGATGGTCGTCGCTTGGGAGTGTTGTGTCGTAGACGGTAGCAGTAGTGGATCATCATTGGAGGTGAGGCGTGGTCTAGTGGTGTGGTTGTGGTTTGTGGTGGCTGTGTGAGGCGTGGACTGTGGTGACTGCTAATCGGTTCAGTAGAGGAGCAGTTGAGTTACAGAAGACGGTTTTCTGAAACCCTAACCAACGAAGAAGAAACAGCCCACCTGATCCACTTCGGGTCAACCACAGTTGGTTCGGTTCGGTTCAGACTAATTTCAACCCCGATCATCACGGTTTCAGGGCTCCAGTAAGCCAAACCGGCCCGGTTCAGTGCTTCAACGAGTCAAACCGGCTCGGTTCAATGATCCAGCAAGCCAAACCGGCCCGATTTAGTGATCCAGCTAGCTTTTCTGCTCCGGTTCAGTGATTCAGTAGCCTTTTTAGTAGCCTTTTCTTCTCCGGTTCAGTAGTCCAGTACCATTTTCTAGTCTGGTTCACGCAGTCCAGTGGACTTAATTGATCCAGTTCACGTTCCAATGAGATTTTCCAATCCAATTTGGTGATCCACCAACCTTTTCTTCTTCGATTCAGCAGTGCAGTAGGTAATTCTTGTTCGGTTCAGTGATCTAGTGATTTCTCTTTTCTATTGCTACACTTATGGAACTCAAGCAAGACACGGAGTTGGTTACTATTACACGGGAGGAGTATGCTCAGTTCCTGTCCCAGCAACAGGTTGTCCTATCTCCATCCACTGCTACTTTTGTCCAATCAGGTAATGCTTCCACTTTTTTATTGTCCTCCAATCGCAGTCCCTGGATCATAGACTCTGGCGTTTCAGACCACATGCTTGTGTGTCTGATATTTTTTTACCTATCAGTCTACTACTTCCACACGTAGTGTTACTCTTGTCAATGACACTTGTTCTCAAATTTCAAGTTTGGGGACTACTAACTTGAGTCCTGATATGTCCCTATCTTCCGTATTATTTGTTCCTCAGTTTTCTTTTAGTTTACTTCCATTAGCAAGATTATCCGTTCTCTCAATTATTCTGTAATTTTTATCCCTCTTATTGAGTCTTTTAGGATCTCAAGACGAAGAGGAAGATTGGTACGGGGCATGAAGCTGGTGGACTATATTACTCTGATTTTGATTCACCTACTCGGGCTTTACAGACCTCGTTGTCTCATTTTCAGTGGTATTGTCGTCTTAGACATCCCTCTCTTCAGAATCTGATGCGTCAAGTTCCCAGTCTTAGTTGTGTGTCGTCTATCTTGTAAAGCTTGTCAACTTAGTAAGTATCATCATGTGTCATTTCAGTCTAGAGTCACTAATCGTGTGTCTAGTCTATTTGAGTTAGTACATTCTGATGTATGGGGTCCAATAAAGAATATTTCATCTAATAAATATCCTTATTTTGTGTCGTTTGTGGATGACTATTCTCTGTGACTTGATTGTTTCTGATGAAAGCTCGGTCTGAATTGTTCTCTATTTTTGAGACCTTTCGTAAGGAAATAAAAACTCAATATGATTGTCGTATCCGTATTTTACGTTCTGATAATGCTCGGAAATATAATCTGATCATTTTTCAGCTTATCTTAGTAAAACTAGCATTATTCATCAGACTTTCTGTGCTTACACATCTCCACAGAACGATGTTGATGAACGCAAAAACTGTCATTTGTTGGAAGTCACCCATGCCCTGTTGTTTTCAGATGAATATTTTCTGATATTTTTGGTGTGATGTTGTTCTTACTGCTTGTCACCTTATTAATCGTATGTCATCCTCTGTGTTAAATGGACAAAGTCTATATTCTGTCCTTTATCCTGGTAAGCCTTTATTTTCCCCAACTCCTAAAGTTTTTAGATGTGTCTGTTATGTTCACAATTTAGGTCCTAGTTTTTAAACTTGACCCTCGATCTACCAAATGTGTATTTCTTGTTATTCCCGCACACAGAAGGGGTACCGTTGCTACAATCCTTCTCTGCGACGATACTTTATTAGTACCGATGTCACGTTTGAGGAATCTGATCCATATTTTCCAACACCTTTTCAGCCTTTGGATCTAGACTTTGGGTCGTCTCTTGTACCACCATCTCTTCCCTCATCTTCAGATATTCTGTTGTCCACTGTGTTACCATCTACTTTATCTTTTCGTGTCTACTCTCGCCGTCCTCGCCCATTGACTGAGGTGCCTGTGCCGTCTTCCTTGCCACCTTCTAATCCTGGTATATCAGGTAATTTAGACTCTTTACCTATTGCTCTTCGTAAAGGTACTCGTTCGTGTGTTACTCATCATCTCATTTCTCATTTTGTTTCATATGATGCCTTGTCTCCTGTCTTCTCCTGTTTTACTTTCCAATTATCTGCTATATCTATTCCTAAGCATTTATTGGATGCATTATTTGATTCGGGTTGGAAGAAAGCTACGGAGGAGGAGATGGATGTTTACATCATAATGGGACTTGGGATCTCGTTCCTTTATCCTCTGGTAAACGAACTGTTGGTTGTCGTTGGATGTATACTGTTAAATTTCGTCC